GAAGGTGTCAGCAGTTGTGAAATCAGGGACAAAAATACACAGGGCAGCCTTCCTTCCTGTCTGCAGGGCTCCCACTCTCCCGGTGGTGGCCGGCCAGCTCTCCCAGGTGTGGGAACCTCATAGGTCAGGTTCTCCAGCCCCTGAGGTGTCCTCAGGCCGCCCTCAAGCCCTGAGGAGCCTCTTTCGCAGTTCACACCCCAACCATGTTGACTAATGGAAATGTCACGGACACTTTTTTTCTGTTTGAGGTTGCTTTATACAGGCAGCACAGATGTCCCCTCTGACATCTTTATCACCCAAAGAAACTAGGTCCAGCCCCCCATCCCAGGAGACTGGGGAAGTCGCACCCTCTCCCCGCCCCGAAACTGCCCAGCCCATGACCTCCAGTCTGCAAAGCCCACGGACACATACGTCACATCCTCCTCTCACATACGTCGCGCGTAGAGGGTGGTGCTGGGCACAGCGGGTGCTGAGCACAGTGGGTGCTGTGACGTGTGAGCGACCACGGCTGTTCTTGTTCTTGCTGTGACCCATCAGCGGCCTGAAACGCTGCCCGCAGTGGGATGGGAACCAGGGGAAAGCAAGGCAGACATCCTCAATGTAGGTGAGGTCCGGACAGCCCGTCATTTCTGCAGCCTGGTGGGATTCTCGAGACTACGCGTGCCTCGTGGGTGTGCGGCTCGCACAGGTGTGAAAGGGTTTCCAAGCTGTCCATTGCCAGGGTGTAATCGCCAAAGCGTGGACACAGAGGCCGTGAGCGGGAGACTGGTTACAAACTGCATGACTCGCCCGAAGAGGAATGTTCGTGGAGGCAGCACATTTGAAATGGTGTGCAAAGATTTCCAAGGGTAAGAGCAAAAAGCAAGGGGCAGTGCAGTCTTACCTTCTGTGTTAAAGCGTACACACACACACACACACACACACACACACACACGGCCCACTTGGTAGATGATTTGGCTCAGCTGGTTGAGGGTCAACTATGAACCAGGAATTCTCAGTTTGATTCCTGCTCAGGGCACATGCCCGGGTTGTGGGCTCGATCCCCAATGTGGGGCATGCAGGAGGCAGCCAATCAATGGTTCTCTCTCATCACTGATGTTTGTATTTCTCCCTCTCCCTTCCTCTCTGAAATCATTAAAACACACAAAGAATTCACATGCCTGTGCACTTTGGTGATACAATGGTGTTGTCTCTTACGGGGTCCCTGTTTGCCTGAGGCTCAGAGGTGGGAGACGTATTCCTTTCTCCCTGTCCTTGTTTGCACCTTTGAATTTGAAGCCATATACATCTCTTGCTTATTTAGAAAAAAAGAGTAAGCAGACAGTAGCTGATTCAGAAATCAGTACTCCAGTCCCTGTGTCCCCGGAGGGGCTGGGCGGGGCCAGCGGGCACCCCCCCCCCCCTAGGCCTGCGGGAGTCACGTGGGGCCTGTGGCTAGGCACATGCCCCCACCTGGGTCTTCCTGTGTGGCGGAGGCCGCAGCAGGGCAGAGGCTGGGGAGAGTAGGCACAGCTGCCTGGCACAGGCGGCACACGCAGGGCAAGGTCACGGCCCTGGTATCTGGGTCTGGTTGGGCAGCTTTTCAGAGCAGACAGTCAGGACACAAAGCCTCACTATGAGCATCAGGAAAGGCCCTCCATCGAAGCTGCTTGCCACCATTCACGGGGCAATTCACAGTGGAACTCGGGGCAGAGCAGCCCAAGGCTCAGGAAGCAGATTTGGAGGGGCCATGGTTTCCTGGCCCGCTCCAGGCATCAGTGGGGTGGAAAGAGCCCAGAGGAACCTGGGTTCTTAATTCTTCATCCATCTGCGCAGCTGAAGTATAAAGATCCTTTTCAGAGCTCTCCCTGAGCTGGCTCTCCAGCCGCAGGACACACACAGCATTGTGTGCAAGGACATTCCCCTTCGCCAGCAAAAGGGACAGAAAGGCCCTTTCAGTTAACTGCAAAATAAGCAGGGCTCTGTCCAGAGACAGGGCCCCTACCTCGTGGGCTCCTGGTAACTCATAGGCTGTCTGAGCACAGTTTACTGCCTACGGTCTATTGCATTAGGGCTTTTCAAATGCCCTTCGGTCAACAATTCTTTATGCACACCTATATGCAAAACATACTAGTAAATGTCTGCGTGCAAACAGCTATTCTTCAAATAGCCTTTATACATTCAAATGTACAGGTATACATATTTATATGTAGTCATCCTCTTGACTAGCAATATAGAAGATCTATGACGTAGGTCAAATATTTAGTACAAGGTAACAAGATCTACAGGTTGGCAGTGACATACAAAGCTATTAGAGTAGTAACCTAGCTTTGTATCCGTTCTTTGTTTCTCCGAATCTGAGTCATCCTTCAGTCCAGTTAATTCTTTCCACTTACAGATGGCAACACTTGCACTCCCTTTTCTGCTGTGACTCATTCATTCATGTACCAAGCATTTGGAGGGGCCTGCCGTGTGCCAAGTGCCATTCTAGGTTCCTGGGGTAGAGCAATGAACAGTGTGGCCGGCGATCCATGGCCAGGGGCTTGCATTCTAGTGAGGAGACAGATGTCCACTGTGGTGTCAGAGGAGGACAGGGATGGAGAGAGGGGACTTTCTGGAGAGGTGACCTTTGAGTGCAGATCTGAAGGTTATAAGCCAGGGCGTCCCATGGATATCAAGGCTGTAGGCAGGAGAAGTGGCAACTCCCTTGCTCACTCTAGTTACATTGCATTCATTGGCAAAAGCCAGCCCTGATTAGACCCAACTCACCACCCACCACACACCCACATCTGCGGAAAACCATGCCACCGTGCTGGCTGGCCTCATGGACATTTATGCCCAGAATCTCGGTGGAGGGTGGGAGCAAGTGGGAGCCTTCATGCTTCCATCACACATGCTGTCTAGGCAGTGGGCTCTTACTCCCCAGATGGCCAAGCCCCACCAGCTACTCTCCTGGCTTCACTCTCAGCTGACGCCTTCCCATTTCCCTCAGTAATCCGAAGAGCCACCGACCGCTCCAAGATTCCCACACCTATGTACTTACCTACTTCATTCTTGCCCAAATCCTTCCTCCTGCACTCCAGGCAGGCCAAGATGGGGCTGGAGGCGGGAGGGGACCAAAGAGTTGGCAGCTGCCCAACTAGGATGCAAAGAGAAGGCTGACTTGCAGGAGGCCCTGGCTGGAGCATGTGGCTGCCTCACAGGCTTACCAGCTGTCAGCACTGGACGCACAGGAAGCTGGCCCTGGGCTTGTAGACTCTGTGTCCCCAGTGCTTTGTCAGCTACACCCCCCAGAACTCAGGGTTCAGGCGAAGTGGGCCACAGCCTTCCACTCCGAGAGATGTCCTCACTGCCGCCGTGCTCGGAGGAAGCAGGGCACTTGGGCTCTAGGCCGGTGGCTCCCAAGCGTGGCTCCTGAGCCAGCAGCATGGGCACCACCGGGCAACTTGTTAGGGATGCACATTCCTGGCCCCCCCTAGAGCTGCTGAGTCGGAAACTCTGGGGGTGGGTCCCAGCCACCAGTGTTTTCACGTGCTCCCCGAGGAATCCTAATGCATTTGGGAACCACGGACCTGGACCAGTTCCAGACAATACTGACGCTGCTGGTTCCAAGACCCACTTTGAGAACCACTGCTCTAGAAATGTTGTCAGCAAATTACTCAGTTTATGAGTCATCGTGTTGTTTATTAACAAGTATTACTGAATCCCTAAGGCTGTAATAATGTTTAATAATAATAATTACCTCTGAGTAAGGGGATTGCGGGCAACTTTTTAAAAAGTTTATGTATCTCTATTGTTCAAAGTTGTTACCATAAACATGGATTGCTTTTGTAGATAAAAATTAAAAGTATTTAAAATAAGAATATCTTATTCTAGTATACGTCTTTACAGCTGTGCTCCACAGACTTAATTGTACAAATAAACCACTCAGCCTCCAGGAAGAGGTGACTGAGCAGAGATGGGAAGGGTGAGCACTGAGAAGTTCAAGGTGAGGCCCGGTACACACCAGGGTGGAAAGGCCCCCACGCCAGTTCCAGGGGACCGTGTGAGAAGGCGGTGCAGGGAGTCAGTGTCAGTCTAGGTCCAGGGTCAGCATGGAGGGTGTGGACAAAAAAGGGTTCTATGGAAAGTAATCTCCAAGGGTGATCTGATCATAAATTCTCAGCGAGGCACGTCATGGGGGGCAGTCATGCACCAGGCGTGTAACCTCTTCCGTAAAAGGCTTCTCTTTGCCTTAAGCAAGCCCGTCCCTTGTCTCTGCACCCCTCCTAGAGCGAGATCAACCTCAAGAGAGCATGTGATATTTGTTTTTTTAAATATTTTTATTGATTTCAGAGAGGAAAAGAGAGGGAGAGATAGAAACATCAATGATGAGAACATGACTTTTTCCTTTTCAGAGGACTTGGCTCCACCAGGCTTTGCTGGTTACGGCGGCTTCTTGGACACGTCCCCCTCTGCGCCTTAGTCCCCCCACCTGTCCAAGAGGACGTCGGGCCAGCCCACGGGTGACACGCCGGGCCTCCGCTCCTGCACTTCGGACAAGTTGGGCAGCGGTCACAGCCCGGTCAGAGGACGCATCCCCGGAGCACACGCGGGTTGGGCTTCCTGCCCGGGAAACTGAGGCACGGCGGGGCGAGCAGCGTGCGCCTTTGAGACTCCCGCACCCTGTAAACCGGCCGCCTGGGGGCCACGCAGGCCGCCTAGGCGTGGAGGCCCACCCCCCCCCCCCCCGCACGGCGCTGCGGGGGGGGGGTGGGGGGGAGGGCAAGTGGGAGGCGGAGCGCCCAGACTCGCAGGGGGCGGCGGTGGCAGCAGGAAAACCCCGCGCAATCGCGGCGCTGGAGCGCGGACCTAAGTGCGGAACACACTCGGGGGCTCCGCAGCCCGGGCGGGACGGGCGGGACGGGCGCTGGGCCACGTTGCGGGCTGTAGACCTGCCCCGGGTGCCCGCCCTCCGCCGCCGGCCCCGCCCCCCGCCGCGCCCCCGCCCCGTGGCCACCTCCCCCGCCCCCGCCTCCTGCAGGCCCGGGACGTGCCGGGCTGGCGGGCGGGCGGGCGAGCGAGCGAGGGGACGGCGTCCGGCGCACTCACTTCCGCGTCCCGCCGCCCTCGGCCCGCGCGCGTCCAGCCGCCGCCGCGATCGATCGGACAATAGGCCGCCCGCCCCGGCCGCCGAGAACTTCCCGCCGCCCGGCCGGCGGTGCGCGGGGCCGCTCCTGCTCGGCGCGGGCGCGATCCCAGCCCCGCGGCCGCCCGGGAAGCCGCGGGGACCCAGCGCCCAGGACGTACCTGCGCCTCCGGCCGCGCGTCTGGCGGCCTCTACGCTCTGGGTAAACCCGCTGCACCCCGGACCCTTCCGCGCCTGCTGCCTTGTGCGTTTCCGAGTTTGGTTAAAGAGGATGTGACTTTTTGTTTTGTTTTGTTTTCCTATTCTTTTTCCTTTTATGATTTGAAAAAGAGAAAACGCAGAGTAAGCTGGGACAGGGAAGCGCCACCATCTGCCCCCACGTGGACACTTCGGAGGGGAAAAGAAGTTGCAGGAGAACTTGGTGCTTCTGGCCTTGAGGCCTCGACTGGGGCTGGACTCTAAGGCCCGGGGTCATGACTCTGACTTTGGGCAGGTGGAGGGTGTTACTTGTTCTGGGCTGGACTTGAACCCCCTGTTCTTGGCCGCCCCCTCAAACACACACACACACACACACACACACACACACACACATACATACACTACCCGGCCCCTGGCCTAGGCCTCCACACCCCTCAGCAACATGGACAAGTACCAGGACCTGGGCCTGGAGGCCAGTAAATTCATCGAGGACCTGAACATGTACGAGGCTTCCAAGGATGGACTCTTCCGAGTGGACAAGGGTGCAGGCAACAACCCGGAGTTTGAGGAGACACGCCGGGTGTTTGCCACCAAGATGGCCAAGATCCACCTTCAGCAGCAGCAGCAGCTCCTGCAGGAGGAGACCCTGCCCCGGGCTGGCGGCCGAGGACCTGTCAACGGCGGGGGCCGCCCGGGCCCGCAGGCCCATCGGGAAGCTGGTGCAGGCAGCAGGCTGACCATGGACGGCGCTGCCAAGCCCCCTCTGGCTGCCTCGACAGTAGCTTCTGGGACAGTCACCACCGTCGCTGCTGGGCAGCCCGTGTACCCAGCCCAGGAACAGAAGGCCAGGCTGTATGGCCACACCAGGCCTAGCAGCCAGGACTGTGGTTCCAAGGAGAGCCCGGCCAGTTCCGAGATGTCCGCCGTCCACGGGCTGAGCCCCTGCGAGGACCCTTCCTGCCTCACCCATGGAGACTATTATGACAACCTCTCCTTGGCAAGCCCGAAGTGGGGTGAAGAACCAGGAGTGCCTCCCGGCATCAGGCTGGGTGTAGGGACTGGGTGGCCTGGCGCCCCAGGCGGTGACCCATCACCACCCACACCCTCCAGGGACCCTTACCTGTACCAGCCGCAGTTCTCCCCAAGCTCCAGCCGGTCGTTTGAGAGCGGCCAGGACGGTGGTGGTGATGGCCGCAGCAGTGAGAAGCCAGCGGGTCTTTGGACCACTGCCTCCTCCCAGTGGGCACGCCCTGGCCTTCCCTCCCCAGGCCTGGAGAACGGGGCCCTCCTGGGGCCCACTCAGCCCAGAACCCCGTTTTCAGGGAGCTGCCCCAGTCAAGGAGCTCTTCCAAGAACAAACTCGGGGGCACGGAGTGAGGTTTCAGGCACGATGCCCAAACTAAATGCGCACCCTCAGTCCTGGTTCCAGGATGGGCCCAAATCCTACCTTTCTAGTTCTGGGCCATCATCTTTGCCAGCCAGCATGGACAGTTTGCAGCTGGATGCCGCCCCTGGGCTGGGTCCCAAGCCTGGCTGCACAGACCCTGGCACTGGTCCCAAGCTCAGCCCCATCAGCCGTGTCCCTCCAGTGATGTCCACCCCACTTGAGTTATCTTGTAAAGAAGGTCCCGCTGGCTGGTCTTCTGAGGGTGGCCTGGGGTCTGTGCTCCCAGAGAGCCCCAGCCCCCACAGAGTGAGGCTGCCCTGCCAGACCCTCACCCCGGGTCCCGAGCTTGGGCCCTCGACTGCCGAGCTGAAATTAGAAGCCCTCACGCAGCGTCTGGAGCAGGAGATGGATGCTCACCCGAAGGCCGATTACTTTGGTGAGTGAGAGGCCAATGGAGTTGCCCGCAGGGGGTGATGGGGTTGCCACCAGGGATGCTGTAGCTCTCGAGTGGCCTGCCCTTTTTTTTTGCTTCCTCTTTCAGCTACTTCTTCTGATTCAGAAACTTGAAAGCATCCCTGGCAGAAAGCGGATCTTGCAGCTGGGGGTTACCCATGTGTGAAGGGCGAAGCCGGGTGGGATCGCTTGTGACTGCTTTCAAAAAAGGGAAATGCTGTGACTTCGGTTTTCAAGGGTTTTGGGTGTGCCCTCGGGCCTCACGGTGACTGGCTCATTCAGACTTGAATGGGAGCAGCTTTCTCTGGTCCCCATGCCCCTGAGCGGTACCTCAGTAGTTGGCTGGGCCAGGCAGGTCTGGCTATTTGAGGATCAGTGGTCAGGCAGGGGCTCTGTAAGGCTGTGTGTGTGTGTGTGTGTGTGTGTGTCTGTCTGTCTGCAGGTACCGTGTGTAGTTGAGGCAGGTGTCACACTAACATGAAACTATTTGTTCTAGAGCAGTGGTTCTCTCTCTAGCCCTTCCCCTGAGGATGGGTAGAAATGTAAATTATAGGGCGCCACCCCAGACCTACTACTTCAGAAATTGGGGTGAGACCCGGCCATCCGCATGTTCACCAGCCAGGTGAGTGAGCCTGACATTCGAGGAAATTTGAGACCCGTGGACGAGCTGCCTCCTGACTCAGCCCCCCACACCCACCCGGTTCCCGCCAGCCCGCAGATTGCTGACCATAGGATGGAAGGTGCTCCTTTCTGGTTTTGCTCAAACTTGCAGATTTTGCTTTATGTTCTTTTGAAACCACACGCTCTGGGAGACGGCTGGCTTCGGCTCTCTCCGCCCAGGGCTTGGAGGCCGCGGGAAGCAGCGAGCGAATCTTCTGTGGAGTAAGGCTGTGGCCGCTCAGAGGGGACCTAATTGAAAGAGCCTATTTTTAGAAGAGTTTGGGGGTTGTTTTTGTTTTTTTGTTTTTCATTTTTGAACTCTGGATTCCTGGGGTCACGATTTCTCCCTCTGAGGCCTGAGAGCCCTGGGAAGCCGAGTCCCACTGGGGAGACCGTCTGCTGAGTGGACAGCAGGGGCAGGGGAGGCCCTGGGGGTGGGGGTGGGGCGGGGAGGCTGGCTGCTCCCAGCCTCCCTGTTCTCTGTGAATGGACGATTCTGTCCCTAGGTGGGCATCGGGTCCCAGGCTCCCGTGGTAACACTATGTTCTTTTTTAAAAAAATATATTTTTATTGATTTCAGAGAGGGAGGGAGAGGGAGAGAGAGATAGAAACATCGATGATGAGAGAGCACCATTGCTCGGCTGCCTCCTGCACGCCCCACACTGGAGATCAAGCCCACGTGGGTATGTGCCCTGACGGGGAATCGAACCGTGACCTCCTGGTTCATAGGTCAACACTCAACCGCTGAGCCACGCTGGCCGGGCTGGCACTGTGTTCTTGCTCCTGAGAGCCTCGAGGTGGCCACGTCACCCCGCACTGGGTGACTTTTGGTGGTTGATGTTTTCGAGCACGTGGCGTCATTTCGCAGAGAACTGCCTCTTCTCCGCAGATGGCTCCCTTTGGGGGCTAGGGCTGAGCTGGCAATACTGTGGGTTTTTAAATTTAGGCTTTGGTTTGATTCTTTTGTTTCAAGCTGCTTAAACAACAAGACAACGGCTTTCTTTTTTCAGGGAGGCAGGATTACACTCCGGATGAGAGCGGATGTATTAGTGAACACCATTCGTTCATTCCACACGTACCTACTGAGCGTCTCCCCTGGGGCACAGAGAGAAGGGGACAGACAGAAACGGCCTCCCCGAGAGGACAGTGCAGTAGAGGAGACAGGACGTGAACAAAATAAAGAAGCCAGTTTAAGGGGAGGAGGGGATAGAAGAGCCGCAGGGCAGGGAGGGTTCCAGTTTTAAATCAGGTGGTCAGAGAAGGTCCCATCCAGATGGAGGCATTGAGCAGAGACATGAAGGAGGCGAGGGAGTGGACCACACGTCTGCCCAGGGAGAGGGCGTGCTCAGTGCTCAGCGGGGCAGACAGCAGGAGCGGAGGCCCTGGGGCCTGGGTGGGGCCAGGCGCTGGGCTAGACACTTGGCGTGGACTCTTTAATTTACTCGTCACAGCAACCCTTGGACGCAGGCTCTGTGGTTACGTCCACTGCGCTGAGGAGGAGACCGAAGCTCAGCGAGGCTCCATTATGTCCCCGAGGTCTCCTAGGTGGTGCCGGGTGTGGTGGGATGGGAGCCCCCCGCTTAGCCGCCAGGGCCATGCCTCTCACAGCATTGCCAAGCTGCCCCCCAAGGTCACCTGTGAAAACCCCATTCATTCATTCATTCATTCATTTTTATGGCTTTTTCAAAATTGGGGCAAACATTACGTAACAAAATCATTTTAAAGTGAACACGTCGGTGGCATTTAGTACGTTCATCATGTGCAAGCAAACGCCACCTCTCCCTAGTTCCCAAGCATTTCGTCATCCCCAAAGGAAGCCCTGCCCCCGTAGAGCTGTTGCTGCCCCCCCGCCCCTCTCTCCCAGCCCCCAGAGCCACCGTGCTGCTCTCTGCCTAGATTTACTGTTCTGGATATTTCATGTGAAGGGAATCGTTTGCTTTCTTGACTGCATTATTCACATGTAGAAAGTTCCAAAGACGTAAAGATACATGTGGTGAATTATTAATCTTCTTTCCTCCCCTGTTTCTGGCTGTGTATAATGAAAATATGTATCTCGGCCCGTGACGGTGGTGGCATGCTGTCACCTGCTCTTTGTCTTTGCCCCTGAGCAGTGTGTTGGCAGTTGCCCCGTATGGGCATGTGTGGAGTTGGCTCAGTCACCGCCATGGGCATGTGCCCCGGGTCACTTAAGCAGCCCCCCCTGGCGGGCCTTTAAAGGGGCCGTCTGTGAGGTGCACACGGAGCTGTGGGATAAACTCCCGGGGGTGGGGTTGCGGGGCTGGGGGCTGTGTGCCCTTCAGCTGCTGCCTGGTGGCTCTCTGTGGAGCCTGTGCCGGGAACCCTACCCACTGCCCAGCATGGAGGAGAGGGCCTGCCCATGCCTGGTGGCAGCTTCCATCACTCCGTGTGACTGGCCGGGTGGCATAGGCCGTCTGTCCTCTGAGCATCCGGCAGTCGGCTCTGGGCCCAGCCCCACCGTGGGGCCTTGAGCGAACCCTGCTCTCCTCCAGGCCTCCACCATCTGTGGGACAAGGAGGCTGGGCCGGCCGAGGGGCTCGCCTTCCCTTCCCCAGATCTGGGGTCATTGGAAAGACTTGGGCTGCCCCGCACCCTGCAGTTGTTAAATAATGATGAGCTTGTCCTTCACATAGAAGAATATCTGCAGACACGGCTCTTGCCAGAGGGTCAGGGTAAGGCACCGTCGTGATCAGTCGATGTTGTTGTTCTAGCCAGAAGCAGAGCAAAGTGTGTGTGTGTGTGTGTGTGTGTGTGTGTGTTACGGAGGCCCTTCCTGGGGCAGACACAGGTGTCCTGTGGGTACTTGACATTGTGCATGAACTCGGGAATCCCCACCTTTGAGGACACTGAGTCTGAGGACACCTCTGTTTCCAGTTATTGATCAGTGGTCACCGCGGACTCTTCTGGCACTTTCTGTGGCCGTCCTTGTGGATTCATGACAACCTGGTCCTACGGGGGTGTTTCTCCCCCCCTCGTTCTTCTCCGGGAGTCCTCTGTGGTCTCTTGTGTCCTTCTGTCCACGAGGAAAGCGTTCAGGACAGACTAGATGCTGCGAGGAGAACGTCCTCGGGTTTCCCGCCTTCCCGGCCTCGCTCTTGGGGGAAGCCGCCCGGTGCCATGGGGCTTCTGCTTAAGCACCACTGTTTACAGTGCAGAGGAAGGGAGGAGGACAGGGTGCTTTTGTGTAATCTTTCCCGCCTTTTCCTCCGCACGTTCATCTTCCTTGCACGGGGTCTATCCTCCTTTCTAAGGAGAAAGGACACTCATCAGCCGCCTGTCACAGGCTGGGTCTCCTGGAAGCGGCCTCTGAGGCAGAGGCTAGCGTGCAGGGGGCTGCCTGGGACCTTACCTGTGCGGGGAGGGAAAGGTGCGGGCGGGCAGAGGAGAGCCCCAGCCGCCACGCGGGCCTGCCTGCCTGGGTGACCCCAGATACCCCCAAATGCCAGGCAGGTCAGTAAACCTGAACCTGTGCTGAAGTGGAGGCGGCACAAGGTTATCGGCCCTCAGGCTCTGTCTGAGGAGCTGGCGTGACCAAAGGCCATCGCCTTGGAATGCGCCCGAATTCCTTCTGGAGACACCGGGCCGTCGCTTGGATCCAGGTGTCCGTTGCCATGGCAGTAAATTCCTGATCCTCCGGGTGACGTTTGTAAGTGGCACCCAGGACTCCAGCCCCGCCTGTCTAGCCCTGCGGTGCACACCTGGGCTCTGGGGACACCCAGCCCTTTAGAAATTGGAGCCTGTGTGCATTTTCTTAGTAGATCTGGCAATCTTCCCCTCAAAAGCAGGAGGACATATGTCTTTTAACTCCTTCTTGGTGTATAATAGACACATATTGTAGATGCTCACCCAGTGGACACACCCATGTTACCTGCGCCCAAATCGAGACACCGACAGGACCAGCACCCAAGAAGCCCCCGTACCTGCGCCCCTTACAGTTGTCGTCACTCTTGAAAGATAACCATCGCCGTGACTTCCAACAGTTTTAAGCAAGCGTGTGATTTGAAGTAACTTCTAAAACCTTAAGCGAGTTTAAAAACGTTTCATGGCAGGTTTGGGGATGAATGGGCAGCGCGTGGGGGTCAGAGTGCAGATGGGCTGTGGATAGCAAGGAACCTGGGACACCAGCACGGCCAGCTCCATCGCCGCCCACTGCGCTGTCCAGCTCGCTCTGCCCTGTGGCTGCTCCTGTGTGGTCAGTGGTCAGGGCTCGGACACTGATCCCCTGTGTTCTCCGAAGGAATGGAATTCCCATCATCCTTTCGCCCCATCCCTTTCTGCCATCTCTGTCCGTGGGATCGCTCTTCA